AAAACAATCACAAAACTAATATTACATGAAGGTTATTGGCAGGTTAATTTTGCAATACTCATAGTGATAATACGGTCTGGACCAGTAGATACACAAAAGAAGGAGTAGAATAAAGAATAAAAAGTAAGCAATCATAATAATTTAGGTAGCTAGGTATGTTTAAGAAGGTTGTTCCTACAGAGCACAAATAAGAGAGAATAAGGGAGAAATAAAGGGACCAAAATTATGTTATTAACAACAAAGCAAGTCATAGTTTTCGCGCTTAACATTGTCTCTGTCACTTAGAACACGAGCGAAATATGTTATAGTTGAGTTCCTATACTTGGTTCTATGAGCATATATTATTTTCTACTGATTTCTGGTTCTACCTGATGAGATACAAGGAGAGAGTTGGGAATACAGGAGGTGTTTGGGGGTCAAAGAGTATGGTTTTAGACCATTCTCCCATGTATTCAGATGCCTTTCTACTAATGTAGTGACGAGCTGACTGAGTTTTACACCACTAGTCCTACTAACTAACTTCAACGTCTTTCTGAGGATGGTAAAGTCCTTTTTCAGTAACCCAGGAGAGATTAATTGGGAGCAATAAAGTAGAATAGGTAAGATACAAAGACAAATTGTGAAAGCAGAGGTTGAGTGATTCCAGTTAGTCTGAGAACACAATCACATCAGAATCATTCACCTGAGCTACAACTCTTCTCTATCAAATCTACTCTCATTTTTATCTGCATACATATTGTGAAAGCAATAAGGATTTCATCATACAGTCACTGGATAATGTGTAAGATGAACATTCACATGTTGGTTTACAGGGACCTGACCGATGGCTAAAACAAACATTTTATCCACAAGGTAAGTTCTGTGAAACAAATCTATAACTTCACCACCGAGAAAAAATGAGAAGGAATCATTGCATTTATTCGTTCCGTTTTTTGAAGGAACGACAAGGTCTCATGGAAAAAGTAATGATCGACATAAAGTAAGTGAAACCTATGGGATTGTAAACATGTAAGCGAAAATCCTAACAGAAGCTGGAAAAAGCGTACTTATGAAGGGGATGAACGTCAATATTTTTAACAAAGGATTAAAACCTGAAGATACTATACCAACTATAGAAACAGCATAAGAAGGACATGACAAGGAAAAAGGATAGTTGGTACAATCACAGTGTTCAATAACGTTAAGAATCAAAAAGCAGAAAAATTGAATGTAACGAATGAGGAAATATAAGCATTTCAAGACATAAAAGCGAACAAATCCATTGTCATTACGCAAGCAGCCAAAGGAAACACAACAATAATACTGAACAAAACGACATATACAGAAAAGATGAATGAACATTTATAATCTGAACCGTACACCATGATGACGAAATCATCAAAAACAATCACAAACAAAACAATGAAAGAAGCAGCAGTGGTAGTTGTACAGAAGAAAAAAAAATTTAGTCAAAAGGGCTTGAAGTTACGCAAAATCATGCAATACACCTAGGATATACGACCACATACACGTAAATTGGTTTATAGTTCGGGATATGACAAAACCACTTGTGGAGGTCCAAATTTATCGTGCAGTAAACTTTTCTGCCTTTTCAACAACTGTCAGCCAGGCTTCGTAAAAGGTTCTACATATCGACTAGTTTGGTCTCTGCCTAAAAATCCTAATATTTATTTCTTAATTGTAAGCAATGGATAAATGTAACCCTCCTTCCTTGTGACATGAATCGTGCTGTTATTGTACCTCTGCACCTGTCTTCTCTACATTCCGGTTGTTCTATTGTTAGAATCAAGTTGGCTACTCACTAAGTATGCTAGTGGTCATCGTCTGGATGACCACAGGGGATTACTTACTCTACAGAGAGGGATCAGGATAGTACACATTCACTTCACCAGATCTTGCAGATTCGTCACACTTCCATACCACATCTCACCTCTTCATCAACCTGGACAGTCTTCTCGACCTCATTCATTATGATAATATTCTATGTCGACATGCATATTTTTACTTCTGTCGAACGATAACATATCAGTTGTATGGCTTGCTGAAGGTTGTCACCAGCTGACGGACAATGCAAACTGATGCGACAAATAATTCTATGAGAATAATTCAGCGATTATTTTTAGTGTTTTTTAAATATTAATTATACTTTTCGAGTAGAGCGTGGCGAAATCACCAACTTGTCAATAGACGATAAGAATGCTGGTACTACGGTTAGGGCTGGGACATAAACAGAGCATCAAAACAGGTATCAACAGTGGAAATGTGATTTATTCTAATCTTATTGGTTATAAAACTCCAATAAAAATTGAAAAATGTCTTCCTCTGACTATGAATTTGAAGCCTAATTTTGTGTGCAGTAGGTTACGCAAAGTACACTGATAAAAAGTAGTCGTCATTTATTAAATAAATTCAACTCACATGACTGCAGTGCATATTTCAAATGATAAGTATTTCTAAAACAGCTTACAACATGATGAATAATAATTGACTTATTTATCGGCGAAGTTTGAAGGATACGTTCTCATTTAGTTATTTACCCGGATGCATTATTAGGCTTCGGGAACATGATGGATACGAATATATATATTATTATCACTCCAGTCCACGTATTAAGGGATAGCCGAAGATGTAGAACACTGCCTGTCTCAGCCTCACTGCAGCGTTTTATGGCTTGTCCAGTCAGATATAACACCTTTTGGTAAAGTAAAAATGAATATGTAAACATTAAAAACATGGATGGAAATCTGAGTCAAATTAGTATTTCAGATTAGATCGTGGATTGATATCGCTTCTGGGAGCACTGAAAACCAGCGAGTGTCGTGTAGCTATTTCGACTTAGATTAGGACTACTGAACAGTACGCTGCCGTGACTCACAGTTGTTCCAACACAAGACATTCACACTGCATGCCCCCTCTTTAACTCTAATCAACCATAGAGAAGCATATCAATGGCTTATCATTTGTAACCAGAATGTTTCTGGGTTAATGAGAGGTTTCAAACCCCAACAAAAGTGATTCTATGATTCATTCATGAGCTGACATCAGTTACAGAACCTTTGGAAAACTTGGAAGTACTGAAATTCTGTTTTGTCCCAGCTTGGGACTCTTCTTCAGCATGTGCCCACTGAGGTTTGAACCCTGGACCTTCTGGTTGCAGGGACATCTCGTAGGCCGATGTCAGCTCATGTAGGAATCCTATAAACAATCAATCAACTCCTTACAAACCAATACTTCAATAGTGCTCCAATGGTTTCCTAATGCCTTTCATCTGCAAGTAATATAAACTTCATATACTGAATACCTCCCGAGATTTTATGAAAAATGAAGAATTGTGGCATAAATCTAGTCATATTACTTTAGTTTTATGTTTTGAAACCATCGAAACTATCAGTCGATGCAGTTATTTGACAATTCAGCAAATGTTAATGGTCGCTTGAAAATTAGGCAACGTATTCAGTTATTCATACACTGACGCAATAGAAATAATAATGTGAAAACATTCGAAAAGGTTATAGTAGTGAAACCAAGAATAACTAATATGCATTTCATATTTTCTTATTGTGGATTATGAAGTTTCATGAATATTCAGAATGCTCAGTTTTAGACTTACCATTATAACAGCCAGCACGATGATTGAGGAAGAAAGTATGTCTGAAGTTGTCTGCAGAAAACAAAAACAACGCAAAGTGGTTATGCATTTCGTCAAAACAATACAACACAATCAGTTATGGTTTCTAAAATGTTAGGACTCATCATCAACTTAGTAACAGCTGGAGAACTTCAGAAAAACAAGGAGTAGTAGGCAGCTGGTTTCTTTGTTGTTTGTGACACTTGAGCAACCTCTGTCCCTGACAACAATCTGACGGCTACTAAGGCACCTCCTACAGAATTCGGTTACTGGAATGAAGGCTAATACACCATCTGTTCTAACATCTGCCGGTGTATGTTGTGTAGGTTGACCGCGAGCCACAGTATTCGGCCAGTCTTTATAGTAACGCTAGCGTCACTTTTTGCAGAAAAGCGGTTTCGCTGTTATCCCCTGAATAACTTCGATATACGTTTTACATTTTGTAGGTTACAAAGAACAAATCAAGGTCACTAAGGCATTCTATATTGGCGTCTTCAAGCAGCCAGTAACAGACGAGCTTGCATCGAAATATAATTCCTCCATGGTTTATGGGTGAGGTGCATGAAAATATCTAGAATTTGAACGTTCTCAAGGATTAAATAAACACAACATCGGTAACTGAAATTACTGCGTCCATGCAGATGTTATATATTCAAAATACTTAAACAGCAACTGGTACAATGTGTTGCATTTGCTGCAAGAATCCTGAGTATTGGAGATAGAGAAAAAAGTGAAACAAGTGAAATAAAGACAATTGTGAATAAGTATATAGATCATGAATGGAAAATTTAAAGGAGAAAGAATGTAGTTACAGTAACTGACATTCAGTGGTCTAAACATAAGGACGAAATCTTTGCGTTCCACTGAATAGTTGGTGAAAAATAGCTAAGTGCCTGATAGAGGCGGAAAGATGGTTATTTGAGATAAAAAAAATTACCCCACCAAAGACACTTGGCAGCTATACAGAGGCAGTAGGTTCTCTGCTACAGAAGCATTCACTATGAAGATAGAATAAGGAAATACAAAAACAGCAGATATGAGAACATTAGAGGAAGAAAGAGGATAATATTTACCAACATATTTGAAATATCCAGATAGATTGTCTCCAAACTATTATTGCATTACATAGTGTACATGCAATTTGTCCACATTACATTTAACATTTAAAGTTGTTGTATTCTACGATTGACACTTTTACCGCTTACGAAAGGATAATCCTACTACAGTATGTCTCTGTGTTTATCACTTAAAGCTATAATTCCGAGTAATCGGTCTAACGCGCATTAACTGGCAAGGCACAGAATAGAAAATCTTTTAAATTAATAGAATTATTCAAAGTCGGTTAATTCTTCAAAGAAAACACGTTACTTACCTCGCACTTAGCAACTTCTAATGCAATCAACAAAATAACACCCAGCACTGCTATTCCACCAGTAAGACTCAGCACTGTAATGCTCGACTTCTTACTCAGTTTTTCCATTTTGTAACCCAGGATGATTGCTGCCGCGGAAACAGCTAATGTCAGAAACCATGTTAAAATATTCCATAAACGCCTGACTGCTGTTAAACCAGGTGTGGCGAAAGACAGTGATAAAGCCTGCAATGTACATAGTTTAGGTATAAGTACAAATTTATCATTACGTTCATCAGAGAGATTCACATTAGGGGGATGTATACAAAAATATAAGTAAACATGTATATTTAGTAATGCAGTGTGTAATACCATGTCATTTTGTATATACGGCAGTTCAAAATGGAACGTGAGCAGCCTTTATTCAGAATAACTATAGTGTCTTTTGATATCTCTCAATCCCTTGTTCTTTCCAAAAGTACTGTTCAGAGTAAAGTTATTATTATTTTCATGAGATCAGGCTGCGAAACGGTTGAAGGCGATCTAACTTGCGTTATTGTCTAGTGGAAATGTTACTTTCATTTCTGTGGAGACACTATAGCAGTAGATATAAACATCAACGATTCAAACGAAAGAACGCAGTGAGCAGACGTTAAGTCTTAGTACAAAAACGCGGAAGAATAGATGCATCAAAGGAATCGCTTTGCAAATTCCTTCATGTGGTAGTATTTAATGTGCTTCTGTATGGTTAGTAGGCTTGTATGAAGCTAGTAGGTGTGCAGCATTCTTGTCGCTTTAGAGGTGTAGAGCCACTGTTGATGGGTATTCGCCTTTCGTTTTACAACGATCTGTGCGACAGTATATGTCGTTCCGTTCACTTGGCTCCTGGGTGTTGGAGAGCAGTGAATAGATCAGTAAACAGCATGATAAGCAGTTATCTGGATAAATATATGTCCATGTATATATTTGGACAATCACTAAATCTCCAGTAAGTACTGAGGAGGTTAACGTGAAGTGCATGAGATTAAATTATCCTGTATAACTACTGTCAACACTGACTTCGATGGATATTGAGGAGGATTTTTAAATGACATGTGTTTATTGTGGGATCATTGAACCAGTCGATCAAGACCATTATTTCAGTTTACTTGGGTCGTTTGTTTGGGTCTCTATGTTTCTAGCTGCCAAGCTAACTTCGTTTTCCGGGTCAAGCAACGTTCGATTGTAGGTGGTTGTGTAGCTCATAGTTACTACATGCTTAAATTTAATGAGACTCATATACTTAAACACTGATTTGACAGAAATAAAGAAACTTTGAGTTCAATGCTTTCGGTATCTCCATATCATTCGGCTCACTTCTGATGAATTTGAATTGGGCAATGCCCGGTGATCTCAAGTCTGGCGAAGAATGGGCATCCGTTGGAGATGAAATTGAAACTATAGTGTATGCTCTTAATTTTATTGTATCGAAAGGAGATGAGAGAATTGGTGACGGATATTTTCCCATTGAAAATCATACCATATTTATAAGTTTCTCATCACATTGAAAGCCGATTAGGTCAGCAGACATAGACTGTGCATACTGCTTAGCGATTACCTCAAGGTTAAACGAATAGAGCAAAAGTTTACCGAAGCGAATTTTTCATGTCCACACTGTAAACTGGATCCAAATTCGAGGAATAAATACTTCCACATCTGCTCACACATCTTTTGTTCTACATTTCCATCGATTCTCATCCACCAGCATATATATTCACTACTGACAAGTCTGGTCAGTTGTATGCGTGGCAATATCAGTCAGTGACGAAATTTATAAATAATCACTCTTCTCAATTGACACTTTGTATCAGCTCTGCTCGTGGTCTACATAGAGTGTAGTTATTTACGTGTATTTGTAAAATCGGCATCCATCGGACAGCGAATTCCTGATATGAGGTCATTGGGGATTAATTCGGCATGTGCAATGAACAGAATCAGTCACTCGGCGTTAATCGAATTGGCAGCTGAGTCAATCAAACAAACCAATGACTATGCTTAAATTCACACTCTGAGCCAACGCACATTGTGTCACGAGAATAAATATATTGCAACACATGTAGATATAATCTGGTGGTTTCCATCGACAGATTTCGCCCAAATTTTTCTCCCAATCAATATATCAGAGCGTTTGTCACATTTGTGAAGCATGAAAAACCATTTCCGAGAATCTGACTTATATTCAAGTGTATTGAGGGATACCGTACTAGGGGAAACACGTGCGATAAGTGTGGTGGATCAGTATGAGAGAGTGAAAAATTTGATTCATTCAATTGAGCTTTGATTTCCACTGTTCTCCGCGAAAGATTCTACAAATTATCCGAATTCCTATCGTTCCTTTTGTTTCTTTGAGCTGATCTTTCATGAAGCGGCTATTTCGCTACAAAAATTACAATTTTCAATAGTGCTTTCATTTTCATCGTTGTTACAGTTAGAAAACTTTAAAGTACAAGTAATAGGATGAGTAGTAGATATTGATAAACACACAATGCGTTATGCTGACCTCAAATAACACAAATATTTCTTCATTCTGTAAACAATTACGCCTTGCCAAAATCACCTCATTTGTAGGTTGTTCATAATCTTCACTAATCTCTACTCAACTGGCAAACTTGTACTCTATATCGTGTACTCTATATCATTAGTTGGTGCGTGTGATTTAACGCAGATATTTCTTCATTCTATGTACAATCATGTGAATCCACAATATTCTCTTATCAATATTCAGTAAACCCAGTGGTTTCTGATGAAACACCCACTAGTCATTCATTCTACCAGTTTTGGAAGTGAACTATTGTGATAAGGTGGAGGAGGATTCCCCTCTCCAGAACGTAGAATAGATCACATATAACATGGGTGTTGTGTTTCACCCGCTGACGCCAGGTTGACCGAAGAACTAATCTCAAGTCGACAAACATACCGTGTGCTAGTAATCTCAGTAAGGATCTGAATAACAATTCAACCATCAAAATAAAATTGTCATTAATATTGGTATGTGTGTGTTCCGGTGTAACGTGCAGATTGAAGAGCACATTTGCGTTTCATGTTATTTCTACAGTCTTCATACTGACATAATGATAATAATAATAACCGTTTTGTTCCAAACAGTATGTAGCGGACAACATGTTCTAAAATGTTCCATCCCATTAAATCGTTTAATAGCGTAACAAAAGGAATTATAAATATTACGATGTTGAAATTACCAGTGACAAGAGAACAAATCGAGTAGTAACACATATACGGACAAGAACTTTTTTTGATGGGAAGAATATCAGGTGGCGTATTTTCAGATGATCATCATATTCGTGTCTGTTACATCTCTTGTTTCTTACATGTAAAGCCAGTCAATTATACCATTCGCATGTCCTAATATTATTTCGTCTGAGGACTGAGTATCTTCTGGTTGGTTGCAAAAGTATATGCAACACATTCTCGGAATAATTCGAGTGCCTGTCCAAAACATCAGTAGAGCATTTCCGTAGTAGGAACGCACACACTGTCTTGCTGCATTTTATACACTCGACTATATCTCGAAGTCACTATCAAGCGGTCCATTAGAGATGAAATCAAAGAAATGCAGACGAACAGGTAGTAAGTTTACAAGGCTGAACAGTTCCTCAACAAGGAGGTTGAAGCATTGAGAACACGGAGTAGTGTTGATGGACTGGAAACTATCATGTTGGATTTCAAATGTTTCTCAATAATGCCTTTATCATTTATCGTTTGCTTGATAACAGTCGACGCAATGACGGCGATGTAAGATCAGCAGAAATAAATCCCCAGTTTACAACAGCATCGAACAGAATCTTGTGATTCACTGTGTGGTTAGACTGCGCCAATACTTTGCTAATTATAATCCACAGAGAGGTGGATAGGAAGCCATACTTTTCATCAAATCACCTGAGATACGAGTAAACAAGGCACACATCGAATGCATGACTCCGAATGGTTTCTTTGGCCATTAAATACTTATGTGTACAAAAGTATCATATTTTGAAGAACTCTCCTTCAACTGATGGGATAATACAAGTCTTAGTTGTCGTGAGTCACATGAGAGATTATTCGTCAGATGTGATGCTCACTTCGATAAATGCGAGCGGTAGCTACTTTCCGGTAACTGCTGTTCTTCACTGCACACCAGTGGTCACGAATTCTCACTAGAACCCAGGTTACTAGTTCCTGAAAAGTTGCAGTTAATAGCGAACATCCGACTGATATACAAATGTACTGGAGGATACCGTACTAGGGGGAAACATCTTTCCATTACTCGCCGATATTCCATGGATACTATAACTAATGTCTTGAAACTAATCGAAGATGGAAGTTGTACCTTTCTCGACCAGTAACTACCTAGATGCCTTCTATGAAAAGGCTTTCTCTCACACAAACTAACTCCTTAGCCGTTGACTGGTCGAATTTCGTAATCTCTATGTAATACAGTTTACTGCTCTCGAGAATGAAACTTGCCTTTCCCTCGCCTTCTGAAGTCCGTGTTCCTCAAGATGCTGTCCTCTCTCACTCTTATTTTTCTAATTCTTCTCACATCACTCAACTCGTTCTAACGCTTTCAACTTCATCAGATACGCTGACGATCTGACCGTCTCGCTTCCTGTCAAGTCTCAAATAGACTGTGTCAAAATTGATGGGTTTTTGTCGGACACCATTTAGAGGTCTAAGCATAATCGTCTCACGTGCAATTCCTCAAAATGCAGGGCTATTCGCATATTCCTTAGAGATAAACGTCAAATACAACGTTTGAATATTACACATGGCGCTTGTGTGATAGAACGAAATGAGAGCGAAATTGAGTTTGTGACGAAATACTCCAGTATACTTCTATCCACTGGCCTTACTCGATCATCCCATACTTAATTGATCCACAAGAAAGTGTTTCGTCTATGCTACTAGATTGAGAAGCTAAGACAAACTGGATTCACTCAACCTCTACTTTGAAAATTGTGGAACTGTACTCTCCTACCTAAGATACGCTACTGCTCCCTCAAACCTAATCTTTCCTTATCAACTGGGAAAAGACTATGCCAACTCAGGAATGGTATCAGCAGTTTTGAATAGGACCAGTGGTGCGAATCTTAGTCACTCGGCTTATCACTTACCTACCACCTATATTCTCAACTCCTCCCACACTTATTTCTTATCAGGTAGAGCTGGGAGTCAGTACAAAATATTGTATGCTCGTACTGCCAAGTGTAGGAGCTCAAAGGTGCCATTTTAGGCCAGCATGTGTCCAATGAGATAGAGAACATATTCAGTGAGAAACCTGTGAACTACAACGGTGTTAGCAAAATAATCAACTCTCTCATTATCACCTACTTGCAATCTATGCTGACGCTATCTCAATCAACTGGAAATCTAAGCTACCGATACGAATATTATTTTCTCGTATATACGACGGTGGCACAGTGGTTAGGACTCTCGCCGACCATGCACATGGTCCGGGGTTCGAGCCCACGCCGGCGCATACCTGATGTCTATGGTCGGCCTGCAAAATTTGGGCTACCGATATCCATGCTGAAAATTCCACACTTGTACCCAAAATACAGTGTGGAATCAAGCTGTAAATCAAAAATTAAAAAAAATCACTATCAATAGAAACACCAAGTGATAACTGCCACTAACAATCCTGTAATGGTATCTTCGTAGTTGTTTTGTTGTAATTCGCTAAAACTGAATGCAGTATTGTTCCAAATGCTGAGAATTAAAACTGTATCAATAGTATCGTTTGCGAATAAAGAAAATCATTGTTATGGTCATAATCAAATTAAGAGATGAGCGCAATGTGAAAGCGGTCAGAGCCATTTCATATAGTCTCTAGAAAAATCAGTGAAATGGTTTCATAAAAGGGTGGAGATGATTCTTCACTACAACCAGACTGATCTCCATCGTAGCTGGATCAAACAACTCATCCATGGATTGTGACGATTGAACTGTTGCGCATCAGTGCAAAGTTCTATGTCGGAAACAGACAGACAGGCTAATCAACTTAATGCGGCACTCTTACAAATAGCCCCATTAGTTTCTTTTTTTTCCTCCTTACTATCACACTTTTGTTCTCATCTTCTATTACATAGCAATTTTATATATCATTTCCTGTGGCGCATTGTTTAAAATGTGAACGCAACGCTGTTCTTTTATTTGTTTTTTTATTTATCTTCCTCTTTGGGATGTTGCTTTTTGATTTTAAAACCTTATAAAAATTATGAGGTGATTTAGAATGAAACCGACCTCCTCAATTGTTACCATAATCAATGATCACCAGACCACACATAAAAATAACGCTTGAGGCCTGATTCATATCGTATGACGAAAGAATTTACGCAAAGCAGAATTGTTTATGTGATTTCAGGTCAACTACATGCAGCGTTTGTTTTATGAAAATCTGTCAGTGTTATTAATTATTTGTATTTTAGAAGTATTTTCATAGAATGGGAGTTTTTCAGACAGAACATTGTGTCGAGTTCAAAAGAGCAGTGTGAACTGCAATAGAATCCATTAAGTAAATTTTCTGCACCACCTCACTGATTCAGTTCACATACTGTACATGAGACGACTGACTTCATCCAAAATTCAACTGAATCCTTTGCGTCACACATTTGTTCTGTCTAAATGCACTTCACCACAGTCAGTTGTGTGCATTTCATTTCTGATTTATAACATCAGTGGGACGATCACTGTAGTCCAGT